CTTTACTAGTCCCATGCCATGGCATCTTCTCGCAAGATCCGACAAATCGAGAGCATACTGGTTGACGGTTAATCATCATGGACTACGATGGGATGACGGGATCGTTGCATACAGCAGAGCCAAGCACTTGATTACGACAGCTGTGGTTGGCAAATCATGCGATGTGGAACATAAAGACGTTTTCCCGCCACTCGTAAAGGGGTGTGAAAAGCGAGAATGGTTGATGAATCTTCTGGACGACAATGTAAAAAGTAACCTGATCATCGAGACCTTGGATGCGGATTACGAGGACATAGTTTCCTTGGACAAATTGGATGCAACCAATATTTTACGATGTAATAATCATATTAAGCATTGTGCTTTACAGAATGTATTAAAAATATTCAATTGGTGGTCTCAGCGCCCGGAGAGAGTTGTAAACCTTTATAAATAAACATTTTTTTTTAATGTATTAATGTTTATCTTTTTATTTCCCATCAAAGTATCTGCATAGGTACGCATACATTAGAGAAATTTTTTTTCGCATAGTTTTCAGAATGTCTCGAGTACTCTAGAATATTCTGGAGAGTGAATCATGAACGGAGGGGTCACTGAAAAGAAGGAGAATCGATAAAATCATCAATTGTGTCGAACTTACATATGAATTTATATTGAAAATTAACGCTGTCTTACCTCGTTTCTGGAGCGGAATCTCGGCAATGGGGTAATGTTCCCAATTAATCGCTGGGTCGTTGATATCAATGACATAGTCGGGAAAGCGTTCCCAGATAATTGGTGGGTCATCGATATCACCAGAAATGTCGATTACCTCCACTTCTTTGTTAACTTGCTCGTTTTGGATGATTTCTAAAATTATATATATTATTAGCGTATAAAAAAGTGGTTTTAAAATAAGTCGTAATTAATATTTTACTGATATATGTAAACTTACCCACGTCGTTATCGACGTCTTCTACCGCCGTTCTTATAGGCGAGAAAATCACATGTTTGGTCGAATTTCCTGGGCTATGGAAAATAATAATCATTAATTTCATATATTTTTCTAGTGTATTGTAGTTTTTATATAATTATTACGATATTTTGCTTACCTAGTATGGTTGAGTACAACCCCGATCATACCCCAGACATCCTCCATTTCTTCCCCGTAATCACGTCTGATTATGAAGATTTCTCTCACAATTTCTTGGATCCGATCGTTACAAAGTCTTCCGCTGTTAAATAGCAATACGAGTAGCATGCTGCTGCATTCGCAAGCGAAGATATAAAATAAATTATAGTTTTCCGCGTCGTCGCTTTCCGATACGCGAGATAAATATTTCTCGCGATCAATATTCGGGTCCGCGTAAGAACCCGCGACGATACATACCGCGCACTAGAACACTTAATCGCGACATAGTATTCACGTGTTGTGTTGTCGAGATCTATACAACTTGTGTTTTCGAAAGACAAAATTCTTTTTTTCGGGGGGGAGGGGGGGCTGTTGAAGATAAACACTAAAAGGATGTCTCTACCCATCAAAGTATCTCTATGCATTAGATAAAATTCTTTTCGAGACCGAATGTTCTCCTCAAAAGATCTTTCTGGAATATTCGAGAATATTCTAGGCGCGCCGGAGAGGGGAAAAGGCGAGTGGGCGGCCCGCTTGCGAACAGGGAGGGAGGGAAAGGCCGCGAACACGTCGAAAAGGGGGAGGATTGATGAAACGGTCAATTATGGCTGCGTTCCGAAATTCACTGCCAGTACTGAAAATGTATAGTTTATGTCACGTATACTATAGAATTTCAGTACTGGAAGTGAATTTCGGAACGCAGCCTATATCGATATTATGTTAAAAAAATATGTGGAAAGATATGTCGGTAAAAACAGATCGCAGGGTCGATAAAAATTACCAATTATGTCGGTAATAATATGTCGGTAAAAAATAAATATGTTGGTAAATATAAATATGTTGTTAAAAATATATATACGTTGGTAAAAAATAAATATGTTGGTAAAAATACCGGTAATATGGCGGTAAAAGAAATGTCGGTAAGTCCCCTTTCCTGCGTGACGTCAGCCCCCGCGCCCGCAGTTCCCCTCGCCCCGCACCCCCCTTCAGAGGACCAGGATTAGAACCCGCCTAGTATACCTACTAGTACTGTCACAGTACCGAAAATTTATACTGTATAAAACCTAGTATAAAAAAAAATATTAATTCCTAGCATTGAGGAAGAACCTATTCTCAGTACTGGGCCAGTATCGATTCCTAGTAATTTTTGTTATTTGTATAATTGTTAATATTACAGCTATATAGTAAGAAAGATCAGACTATGGCCGGGCTGCTCACGTTTGTATCTATACATGTCTATTTTAAATAGTCATATGAGGAAAAAATCTTCGGGGCGATGGCTAGAATCGAACTCGAGTCTTCTGTTTGTCAGGCAACCGTTCTTACCACTGAATTATCGATATCGATCCAGTATCGGGGCATTTTTCCATACTGGCAAAACATATACGATTGCTACTTGGGTACCCAATCGGAAGCAAATATTTTTTAAACGTTTTTAAAATGTTTTTTTCCTTTATTATTCATTTTCTCAACTCATTATAAAAAAAAATTTATATAACATTTTTGAAACGTTTGTTTTATATTTATTATTCGTTTTATATAATGATTTTAATAAATATTTTTTAAACATTTTTTAGACATTTTTAAAATATTTATTTTCTGTTCCGGACGGCCGTAGAATGTCCATGCGGAACGAGTACGGCGGGCGGCCGAGCCCCAGGCGCCGCTCAACTCGCGGTCGCCGGCCTACCGCCGCCGGTGCGCGCCGTCGCCGCGACGCGGCGAGCGCGTCGGCCGGAGCCGCTTTTCGCGGTTAAGTTTCGCTTAGGCGCCTATATAAGACGCCGCGCGAGACCACTCAAGGCTCTTATGCCTCTTGCCTGTTGCCAGCTTTGACTGCACATCAGATATTCTTTTATGCTCTAGCTAGCTTCCAATCGCCTTTTTGAGTGCGCAAGCACGTTGGGCACTTGCCTCACGAGAGGTATATATGCATATCGGCATCGATCTTCACTGCCTTAAGAGTGTCGTAGACACGTTGGCATTTGCGTTAGATTTCGGCAATTCTACACAACTCTCCGCAGCTCCTTAGAGTACGTTTGCACGTTGGGCTAACGCCTCTAGAGTGTCCGAGGACACATTGGCATCTGTGGTACGCAGTGTATGGTAACTCCACAGATCTCCACCTTCTCAATACGATCGAGAATTGAGAGAAGGCTTCGCGCGATCACGTCGGATTACCTGGACGCCTCCACCGCGGTGGACGTCTCGCTTCGCGACATTTTCCGTATTAAATACCGGGTATTAGCGCCAACAGAACTTAGTACGATTGAGCTCACGACTCCGCGCGAGTCGTCGTTGTAATCAAGAACTCTGCGGGCAGGGCCGCAGCTCTCTCGCGAGCCAAGCTCGCTATTGCTCCGCTGCCAGGGACGCAGCATATACACGCGAGCCACGCTCGCATTTACGTCCGCCTAGGACTTA